TCGGGCTCCCTGCTCGGCAGGGAGTCTGCTTCTCCCTCTGACCCTCCTCCCGCTCATGCTCTCTGTCTCTCATTCTCTCTCTCTCAAATAAATAAATAAAAAATCTAAAAAAAAAAAAAAGAGCACCAGTCCCATTCAAGAGGGCTCTACCCTCATGACCTCGTGACCTCTCAAAGACTCCACCTTCTAATAACATCACACTGGGGGGTAGGATTTCCACATAAGAATTTGGGGGAGACACAAACGTTCAGTTCGTAATAATCTCTCATGGCTTCTTACTCTGGTCTTTGGCTTGGGCTGGGCAAAGGCTAGAGCATTAAGCATTTCTGATAAAAAGCCCACCCTTTGGAACCCCACCTAAGGTAGAATGGCTGGAGGGAAGTGAGGGAAGCCATGGCAGCCCCTCCCAGGCGGCAAGCTCAGGTTCTCCAGCCCAGGATGTAATCTCTCAAGTTACCAGCAGGGGGTGCCCAAGAGCCGCGATCGTGTTTCAAGGGTTTTTTTGTGTGTGGTTTTTTTTTGTTTTGTTTTTTGTTTTTTTCTGGTCGGTTTCTTGTGTAAGGCTGTGTTGTCTCTGGGTGTGTTTGAGGGAGAAGAGAGGTCTCAGGAGTTCCTCATGGGAGCTGAGCTGAGTGTGATGGATGCACTCACCTCCAGTGCTAGGGATTGCCCCACCCAGGCTCCAATGCCTGGGCGCGGTGCTGGTGCTTATTTCATGTTAGACGAATAGCTGAGTAAATGGATGGAAGACTGGGAGAATAGAGAGAAAGAGGATGACTCAGGAGAAAAAGGCAAAGAGAGGAGAATCAGGAAGAAGGGTGAAAAGCAGACAGATGATGGTGGGCTCAGGGGAAAGAGAAATGCTAAGAAGGTAGGCAGGGGAGTCAAGGGTGGTGAGTGAAGGGGCGCAGTGCCTTCCTCGGTGCTTTGGCCTGAAATGTCTCTTCTCCCAGAGGCCCCCCATGCTGCCCGCCACAATGCTCCCCATCTTTTTTTTTTTTTTAAAGATTTTATTTATTTGAGAGAGAGAGAATGAGAGACAGAGCACGAGAGGGAAGAGGGCAGAGGGAGAAGCAGACCCCCTGCTGAGCAGGGAGCCTGATGTGGGACTCGATCCCCGGGACTCCAGGATCATGACCTGAGCCGAAGGCAGTCGCTTAACCAACTGAGCCACCCAGGCGCCCAATGCTCCCCATCTTTCCAGGCCAGTTGGGGTTGGCACTTTCTTCAGGAAGGTCTCCCTGAGCCCTCAGTGGGGATCTGTCCCTCTTGCCTTTATGCTCCCACAGCTCTGGCAGATGCTACTTGGGACCTCTCTGGTCCATTAAAACATGGGTGGTGAAGTCAGACAGACCCAGGTTGGGTTTGAATTCAAGTTCAACTATTGCTGTGTGACCTTAGCCAAGAGACCTAACCTCTCTGCACCTCGATTTCCTCAGCCAGGGTAACACCAGTCGCTCCCTCCCAGGGTTTTAGTGAGCAATTGAGCTATAAAACACTTAGCACTGGGCTTGGCATATATATAGGGAGCATTGAACAAAAGGTGGCAATTATTACTCTTGCATTCCAGAGAGTCCCAACCTCAAATGATCTGCCTTGTTGTCAAGTTGTTTGCCTTGACTTGGGTTCAGAAAATATTGTCATCAAAATGAATAGTGAGCACCACTGGTTAATGCATGTGAGCTCCCTGAAACGCTCATCTGTGCTTAGTTCATTTTTTCACATGTACAAGATTATCTGTTACAGTGTCGCTCGAAATAAAACATAACTGGAAACAACCTAAATGTATATTGACAGGAGAGTGATGAATTGCGGTATGTTTGTAGAGTGCGATACTAAAGAGTGAAAATGATTGAACTAGAGCTACATGTATCCACACGGATAGATCTCAGAAGCGTTTCATTGAATAAAAAACAAATTACAGAATAACGCATTCAGTATCTTGTAATATATATATATATATAGCATTTGAAAACATGCAAACCGACGATATGCCATATGGCAATGTGTGGGAACAGAACAAACAGGAATAGCAATGATCATGAGAGATCAGGATGGTGGCACCCTCCCAGAAGGGAGGGAGCGGTGTCGGCAAGGTCTTCACGTGGCTTCAACTGTATCTGTAAGTTCATTTTTTAATTCCTTGAATACAGTATGAGACCTTCTCTGTTTCTATCTTCACAACAACCCTGAGCATGAAATATGAGGAAGAGGCTCAGGGAGGCAAGGTCAAGTGTGCATGCTTACCCAGCCTCCTGGAGGCAAAGGTGGGAATTGAACCCAGATCTCCGGATCCCAGCTGCCCTCTCTGTCAAGCAGGCTGCTTGGGTTTTTACTGAACTGCTGCCAGTGATCTCAAGGACAAAAAAAAAAAAAAAAAAGTGCCACAGAGCTGGGGCAGAGCAGCTCAACTCTGCTGGGCTGGACAAGGAGGATGGGCTCTGGCCCACTGGGCTCAGGGCTTGGCCCGTGCCTGGTAGGGGTTTGAGCCCAGGCCAACCGAGAGGAGGTTTCCCACCTTTCCATCCTTCCTGGTGCTCTCCTGGTTGGGTCAGATCAGGGCTAAAGCCAGCCTTGGGTAGGGTCTCTGTAGTGGGAGGTAGAGGCCTCCTAGTCTCTGAACTGGCTCTTCTGCTCCCACAGCCTCCCCCATTTCCCAGCAAAAGCAACCCAGGGGCACAGGCGGGAAGATCACCACCAAGGGGCCTCTAGTCCTGAGGACACTCCAGGATGCCCAACCAGGACCTCATCCACAGACTCCAAACCCTCCAGGGGCAGAGACATTCCAACTATTCCAAAACAGGGCCTGGCACTCATTCCTTCCCCCCTTTCCTCCCTCTCCCCCCCCTCCCTCCCTCTCTCCCTCCCTCTCTCCCTTCCTCCTTTCCTCCCTCCCATCCCCGCCCCCCTTCCTGCCTTCCGAAAACCTACAAAGTACTAGGGCCTGTGCGGGTCACTGGAAGACGGGGATGCGAGACAGACCCTCATTTCCAGGGGCTCAGGGTCTGCTTGGGAGGTCAGATGTATAAACAGATAAGCACCTGATAGACGTTCAATACATGTTTGGATCCAAGTGAATGAGACTGGCCCATGTGGCCCAGAGAAGGGCAGTGACCGGCTCAGGTCACACAGTGGTCCCATGGCGTAACTGACACTGGGGCACAGGACTCCAGACACAGTCGAAGCTCCTTCTACTGCATCCCACCTCTGCTGTGTGTTTGTTTTTCAAGTTGATGAATGTGAAATATTTCAAGTATACAAAAAGTTTCAAGAATGGTATCATGCCAGGGCACCTGTCTGGCTCAGTCGGTGGAGTATGTGACTCTTTATCTCAGGGTTGTGAGTTTAAGCCCCATGTTGGGCATGGAGAGCACTTAAAAATAAAGTCTTCAAAAAAAGGAAAGAAAGAAAGAAAGAAGAAAGGAAGGAAGGAAGGAAGGAAGAAAGAATAGTACCATGCCTCTTAGGAACCCACCATCAAGCTTTGTCACATCTTCCCGTGACCGCAGGTGCCTCCCTTCCCAGCCTGAATCAAATGCTCCCCTTGCTTCCTGGGACATGTTTCTTTTGCAGACCCCATGTACGAGCTTCTTTAAACAGAGGCTGTGAGGTGTTTTCTGACACCAGCCAATTCTCTGATACCCGCCGAGTATCCAACAATTCGATTCATTTCCGGCACTTTCTATCTGGTACTGGTGCCCACCAGTTAAAGGGCTCTGTTCCGTATGACTGTGCCCACTTCAGACAAAATCCTACCACCCCCTTCCTCTGGTTTGATAATTTGCTAGAATGTCTTGCAGCACTTGGAGATACACTACTCATGTGTTTGTTTGTTTGTTTGTTTGTTTGTTTAAAGATTTTATTTATTTATTTGTCAGAGAGAGAGGGGGAACACAAGCAGGGGGAGTGGCAGAGGGAGAAGCAGGCTCCCCGCTGAGCAGGGAGCCCAATGCGTCCCAGGACCCCGGCATCATGACCTGAGCCATAGACAGACACCCAATGGATTGAGCCACCCAGGCGTCCCAAACACTACTCATGTTTACCAGTTTATTATATAAAGATTCAGATGAACAGCCAGGTGAAGACATACATAGGGTGCACAATGTAAAGACTCGCAGATGCCATTCATGAGAACGGCAGGTCTGGAATGGCCAGTAGAGACCGTTCAGCAGCCCCTTCTCCTTCTCCAATTGGACAAACTGAGGCCCAGGCCATGCAGCAAGTTAATAACACAGCTGGGCCTAGAACCCAATTTCCTCGTCTGTCAAATAATGAACAGCCGGTATTTATTGAGAGTCGCCGACATGCCAAGGGATCAACCTTGGGGGGCAGGTGTTCTTAGGATGCCCCGTTTAGAGATGAGGAATCTGAGGCTCAGTTAAGGGAAGGAAGCTGCCCGAGGTCTTACAGCTGCTAGAACCAGCACCGGGCAGGAGGTCACCGGGAAATTGCTGCTGTCTGGGAACACAAGGTTTTTGCCTCACTCTGGAATTGAAAGGATCTACGTCATCTAAAGCAGAGTTACAGGAAGCAAGAAATTGTCAGCAGCTGCTTCCACATCCCAGTGGGGGCAGGAGGAGGAAAACCCCTTCATATGGAAGGTGGCCTCCCCCCACCCCAGCTGAGAATCAAGGGAGCAGCTTTGTGGGGTACAGCCAAGAGCCGGAAATGTCAGCCCTGTCATCAGCAGCCTGAGGGGGGGGAGGAGCAGTCTGAGGGGGGAGGCCGGGGGGGGGGGTGCCCCAGAATGGGGGGAGGGGAGGAGGTGAGCCGGAGCAGGGTCTCCCACCAGCTTCATGGCGGGAGCCCTGAGCCTGAGCAGAGAGGAGGCCAATAGACGTGAACTGAGTCATCACCATTTATTCCAGGTGGGCTGCCTTTCGTCCCATGCTGGGTTGTCACCCTTCTGTCACCCTGTGCCTTTAGGAAAGTCTGTCACACACAGTCGCTGCGTGTCTGTGATGGTTGGGGACACGGATAAGGAGGGAATAGGGGTCATGGTGGCCGGGCGGGGCGGGGGGGGTGCCCCTGAGAAAAAGTGACAGCCAGAGAAGGTGGGGGAACAAGGGGGGGTCTGAGAATTGGACCCAGAGTGAGTGGTGACAAGAGACCGCAACAACCTCCTGGGTTCCCTCAGAAAAAGTGGGAAAGGCTCCAAACTTCCCACGGCACACGGAATGGAGGTTTGAGCTGTCTTATTTGATTATTACAGGAAAAGGGACCCCAGAAGGCTGGAGGGCTTGGGGGTGCACCTGTTACCTGTGCAGAATGCTCAGCACGGTGTCTCCACTCAGCGAATGCTTCATCAAGGACAAAGCGACGGTGGCCCCAGTGGCAGGAGGTACCGCGGTTGACAGGCAGATGGGAGCCAGATTGCTTGGGTTCAGAACCTTGCCTGTGTTCCTTTAGGTGAGTTACTTCACCTCTGCCCTTCAGCTTCTCATCTGAAAAATGGGGGTGCTAGTCCTATCTACCTCATAAGGTCGGAATGAGTGATAAATGAGTGAATGCGTATAAAGCACTTAGCACAGTATCATGGCCAGCTTCCCCAGAGAAACAGAACCAGTAAGAAGAAATACAGAGATGTCTTAGCCTATGTTCGAGTTATAATACCAAAATTCCATGGACTGGGAGGCTGAAAGTAACAACCATCTATTTCTCACAGTGCTGAAGGCTGGGAGTCTGAGATCAAGGTGTTGGCAGCCTTGGTGTCTGGTAAGAGCTTGCTTCCTGGGGCACAGAAGCACTTTCTTGCTGTGTCCTCACGTGACGGAAGGGGTGAGGATGCTCTCTGGGGCCCTAGCTCCATGAGGGCTCCACTCTCATGATCTACTCATCTCCCAAAGACCCCACCTCCAAACACCACCCCATGGGGGCTTAGGTTTCAACATACAAATTCTGGAGGGACACAAACTTTTAGTCTATAGGTATATAAATATACATGTGAAGAGATTTATTATTAGTATTGGCTCATGCAATTACGGAGGTTAAGACCCAGAAAAGCAGGTGGTGTGGTTCAAAGGACTGAGAACTAGACAACCAATCGTGTAGATGCCAAGCCAGGTCTGAAGGTCTAAGAACCAAGACTGATGGATCGCTAGCCCAACTCAGGCAGGCAGAGAACAAATTCAACCTTTTCTGTTCTATTTTGGCCTTCAACAAATTGGATAATGTTGCCCCACACTGGGGTCTGCCTTCCAGAAACACCTTCACAGACACACCCAGCAATAGGTTTAACCAGCCATGTAGGCACACCCATCCAGGTGCCCCAGCCAAGGTGACACAGAAAGTTACACACACAGCTGGGACACAGTACGCACTAGATACATACGGGCCATTATTATTATTATGGTTTTATGGATAAGGAAGCAGGGGTTTCACACAGCTGCGCTGGTAGGCTGCTGAGCTGGGGCTCAGAAAAGACACACACACAAAGAAACACACCTGATGTGTTGCTTTGCCAATTCCCGTGATGTAAGTATTCCCACCATGGCTGATTTCAAGCTACCAGCAGTTTAACAACCCGTTCCCCAAATTCTGGAATATTTAACAAATCGGCTCTGTGAGCCAGTCCGAGCTGACCCCAGCACGCCCCCGCTGCTCCCCCCGCAGCCTGCAGCGCATGAGGGCCTTTCACAAACATTAGCTCGTCCTGCAAGCCTGTGAGTCTACAAGGTCCCCTGAGAACCCTCCTTGCCCCTTTTACAGAACAGCAGATGGAGGTTTGGAGAAGTTCAAGCACTTACCCAAGGTCACAGCATGAGCCAGTTACTTGCCGTCCTACCTTCCTACGTCTTCTCCCTGCAAGGTGGTCGATAAACCTACATATGGCCATGGTCCCCACCTCCCTTAGAGGGAATTTCCCAGGCCCCATGAAGACAGGAGCCCTGTCCTCTCCTACCTTGGCTGCTCTACCCTCAAATTCCTAAGGTGGCTTGGCAGGAGGGAAGTTCTTGTTGGCTGGGGTTCCTGCCAAGCCACACCTGCCCCGATGCTTCTGAGCTCAAATCCGTCCCTGCCACATGTGGGCTTGGGGAAGGCTGTTTTGGCAGCTGGTGAGCAGAGGGCCTTTATCCTTGAGTTTGCTGGGGGATGGGGGTGTGTGACTCACGGTGCTTGGGTGGGTGAAAGGCTGTAGCTAATGAGAGGGCCAGGACCCGGCCCAGGAAAGACTTTTCAGCCCCGCAAGCAAGCTGGCCCCGTGCCAGGTAAGGGCTCAGGTGAGTCACACTGCTAACAGTGGCCTGAGGCTGGGCACAGACGTCCTCCAGGCAGGGTGGGACAGCCAAGAAAGTTTCATGGCTCTTGGCTCTCGCTGTCCCCTGGACTAACGTGGGGGTCTCAAGCCAGCAGCTGCTGAGCTCACACTCGGGGCTGCCAAGCTCCGCTTGCTCCTTATCTTTGATGCTTCCAGGAGCCATGCAACTGAAAGGACATGGGAACACCCGTCCCACCACCTCAGGCCCCAGGGGAGAAGGGTAACTGCTGAGTGGCAGGTGCGGGGGGTAGAGGGGAGTGGGGGGTGGTTAATAAGCAGCATATGTGCTAATGGGGCAGGGTCCTCAGGTCTCTGGAGAAGGAGGCTGTTCCCTCCATTCTGGGGTAGCCCAGAGGAATGAGATGCTCTCAAACTCCTCATGCCTGGGGTAGAGAAAGGGCCCCTGATGGATGTGGTGGGACACAAGAGGGGATAGGTAGAACTACTGGGGTGGGAGATAGGGGGATGGGTGGGAGGGGCAAGGGATGATGGAAAGCCCAGCTGGTTTGGTAATGGAGCTAAGGAGCCAAGGTTGGAGCTGGACCCGGTGGGGCGAGGGTGGGGGCTGCTGTGGCTGGGGACTGTGCGGGGCACCCACCCAGGACATTCTGAGACCCTGACATTCATCCCTGCAGTGCTAGGGAGGGAAGAGGCCGCCGGGCTTGCTGAGTGGTGGAGGATGGGGTTTGGTGGGGGACAGGGCTTCAGCTGCCCACCAGCCTGCGTCTCCAGGTTGGACCCCTCCCAACTCCGCCCAGTTCCCAGGGTCACTTACTGTGTCCTCACCGAGTGAGAGGAGTGGCCCCCTCTGGATAGAGCCAGAACACCAGGTTCTAATTCTGATGGCGGGTGAGCTTGGGTAAGTCTCTTGCCCTTTCTGTGTTTCAATTACCTCATCGGGAAAACCAAATACCTACCTCTCAGGGGTGCTGTGAGGATTAAATGAGAGGGTGGAAGGTCCTGAAGCCTAGCAGGTGCTCCACCCATGTCAGTCTCTTGGGGCTGGGGCTGGGCAAGAGGTAGGGGCAGGCAGCTTCCCCATACCCTCCTCCTCATGTGTCCTCATGCTTGGAGTCAGCTGGACCCTGACCAGCCGGCCTAACTCAAGACTGGACCCTGAAAGCCCAGGATCTAAGGACAGAACCTCCCCTCCCCACCCGGGGAAAGGGCTTTCAGTCTCCTTGACCCCACTTCTGGCCCTAAAGACCTCTGCAGCCCCCAGAGTACTTAGAGATCCCCTGGAGTTAGGGAGGCCAGAGAGGGACATTCTTGATCTTCTGGGACGCAGCCTGACTTTCTGGGAAGATGGAGGAACAGCACATTCCTCCTAAAATAATTGTCCTGGAGTTATTTCCAGAGGCTCTTAGTGCCCAGGCCAGAAATGGCCAGTGATCCCGATGCCTGGGTACCTTCAGGACAAACGGGACAGAGGCCCCGCCCTCTCGCTGGCTGCCTGCCTGGCCCCCAACCCAGAGCAGATCCAGGCCAGGCTGAGGCCCCACAAGGGAACTCTTAACACCACTTCCCTGGTCCACTGAGTTCCCCCACACCTTTCTTCCTCCTTCTTGGGGGCCCTCTGATCTCTCCTCTTGGCTCCCCATTTCAGCAACGATAACCACCCCACCCCAGGACCAAAAGGCTCACTGGCTGTGGGCTGGGGAGGGCCCACACAGAGGTTTCCATGTTACAGCACTTGATGATCCTGGGTCTGGTCATTCAGAAACATTGGATTAAACCCAGACTGGAGAACCCTCTCCAGAACGATGTGCCCATGCTCTTCAAACATGTCCAGGTCACAGAAGACAAAGAAGGGCTGAAGAACAGCTCCAGGTTGAAGGAAACCAAAGACACCTGAGAACGAAGGCCACGCGTGCTCCTGGCTTGGATCTTGCATGGGAAGAAGAGTTGCCATGAAGAACGTCAGAGGGGCAATCAGCAAAATGTGGATGTGGACCGTATAGTAGATGATCATACTCTCCCACGGCCCAACGTCCTGTATTTGGTCATTGTAGTGTGGAGGTGTGAGATGTCCGGGATGTCCCTTCGTCCTTGGTGTGGGGACTATTTCATGCCGGGCCTCGCAGATGTGATCTGTTCTTCTCCCGGACCCAGTCATGTTCTGCCAGATCCTGGGTCAGGCCACGAAGCATCCGAGCTCCATCCTCCTCTTCGTCTTTATTGGAGAAGGGGATATGGGAGCAGAGCTGTATGTCTTGTGCTTGGTATTATTCGATCCAGATGTCAGTTGGGGTAGGAAGCATAACCCAGAACCCTGGAACGAACGGGGTTCCCGTGATCAGTACAAGTTCTACTCAGTGAATGTAGATTACAGCAAACGAAAGAAGGTCCAGACTTCTAAATGAAATGTTTTACTAAAAAGCTGCTTAGAATGAAGGTCTTCCAGGGGCGCCTGGGTGGCTCAGTTGGTTAGGCGACTGCCTTCGGCTCAGGTCATGATCCTGGAGTCCCCGGATCGAGTCCCGCATCGGGCTCCCTGCTCGGCGGGGAGTCTGCTTCTCCCTCTGACCCTCCCCCATCTCAAGCTCTCTCTCTCTCTCCCATTCTCTCTCTCAAATAAATAAATAAAATCTTTAAAAAAAAAAAGAATGAAGGTCTTCCAGAAACCATCCGCACAACTTTCCGCTCATCCAGGAAATATTTCCCCTCTAAATGCATGAAATCATGTTGGTGCATCGTGTTGGGGTTTCCCCGGATTAATAAATATCTAAAACTTGAAAAAAAAAAAAAAAGAAGGGCGCCTAGGTGGCTCAGTTGGTTAAGCGACTGCCTTCGGCTCAGGTCATGATCCCAGGGTCCTGGGATCGAGTCCCGCATCGGGCTCCCTGCTCGGCAGGGAGTCTGCTTCTCCCTCTGACCCTCCCCCCTCTCGTGCTCTCTCTCTCTCTCATTCTCTCTCAAATAAATAAATAAAATCTAAAAAAAAAAGAAAAAAGAAAATGTCTCTGTTCGTTCGGCATGTAGGAGATACACCCCCAAGTGTTCAGGACTAAAAGATGCTGTTGTCTGTAACTTCCTCTCAAAATAATAATAATGTGTGTGTGTATGTGTGTGTGCATGTGTAGTGATAAACGTGGCAAGAGCATTAATAATTTGTGGATTTGGATGAGGACTACGTGAGAGTTCATTGTCTTACAAGTTTTCAGGAAGTTTGAAAATTTTTCAAAATAAAAAGTAAAACTGTACTTTTAATATTTGAGAGAAGGACATGACGGAGGGAGGCTTTTCTTGGCAAATACGTCCTGAGTGCCCCCTAGGGACCAGGGCTGGGTAGAGGGCATGGAGCTTCTGAGATTTGCTGGCTGAAGAGTCCTCAGGCTCTGGCCAGAGCCCGCCGTGTAGGAGATACTCTATGCCAGGTCGCTGACCTCGGCGAGGAAGGAGAGACCATGCAGTTATGCTCAAGAATGGGTTACTCGAAGCGACAGCACTCTGGGGAGACTCAATATGTGTTTGCTGAGCCAGTGAGAAAAGAGAAGGGACTGATGCTGACCACGGCTGATGGGAGCTATATCAGGACCAGTATAGAACTTCCTGACTCTCTGCATAGTTAAACACCAGAAAAGCAACAAGAAACACTGGAAAACATCCACCCCAGTCTCGTTGTAAAAATAGGGCCCATCTGTCCTGGAGGGCTTAGTGTGGCGCGGGCCTGGAGGCAGGGGCCTGGCCAGGATGACCTCTGGAGGCCCCTCCCAGCTCTAGGATTCCATGATTCTATGACATGGCCAGCAGTCTGGAGTGGCGGCATGAAGGTATCCGCCTTGGAGAGCAACAGGAGGGCTAAGTCATCTACCTCCTAAAGACAGCGTGAGCGTGGGAGAGGGCCCTGATGGCATATGGGGCCCAGCCAGCCAGGAAGGGAAGGGTGGGGCACTGTGGGGGTCAGCCCTCAGTCACCTCCTGCATTTCCGGAGGAGGAGACAGGGTGGGGTTGGACCTGGAAGGAAAGAGTCAAGGGTCTGTACATTCCACTCAGTTCAGACCCAAAGGACAAGGGCAGCTGAGGGCCGTGGGCTGGAAGAGGAGCAGACAGCTGTTTTCTGGGTGGGACAGGCTCAAATACTGCTCTGTTCTCACTAGGCAGAATTGGAAAATGAGCTCAAGCTGGCAGTACTGGGGGAGAGAAATCAGGCCTTCCCTCTGGTTGGGGGTAGGGGAGTATTGGGGAACCAGGGGACAATGGGGACAAGGAGGGGAGGACTCCACTGCCCTTGGCTGGGACAGGAGATGGGGTTAAATGGACTGAGCATCTTGGCCTGGGCAGGCCTTAGTCTCAGTGAAGCGCCCACATTCGGACCACAAGGAGTAGGAATCCCAATGCCCCCTCCTCTTGTGGAGTGGATGAAGAGACCCCAGATATCAAGACCAGATATCCTGGAAGGCTGTGACCTTACAAGGGCAGCCCCGTTGGTAGACTTGTCGTACTACCTCTGCCCCTCTCATTTGGGATTCCTAAAGTCAGGATCAACTTAACTATGGGGTTTAGCAAACACCCCTGTCCATCTGGTTCTCCCCATTAGGGCCCCCATCCAGCAGGCAGAGCAGGTGTGGGGAGAACTCTTCCTTAAGAGACTGTGAAGAGGGCCAAAGTCACTCCGACATAGCATT